TCAAGAGTAATCAAACCAAACAATTTTTTTTAAAAAAAATCTCAAAATTTTGTTTGGAGTTGGGCATTTTAAAATCACTCTCTCTCTCTCTCTCTCTCTCTCTTACTTTCTAAAAAGATATTTTGAGAGCTCCTCTCTCTAGAAACTCCCTTCTCTCTAAGGTTTGATCTAGTTAGAGTGTCTCTCTATCCTCCGGCCTTTGTAAAAAGTGTGTGGATCGTCGAGGGCTCCATTTTGATCCGTGGATCTTTGAGTTTGGAGCATTTTGGTTTTCTTCAATTTCCCCGTTTGAGCTCTAACTTCGAGGTAGGGATATCCTACTCCTTCCCATGAGTTTTGTCTTTGAATTTTAGCATTTTGATGAGTTGAGGGTTGTTGAGTAATTTTGAGAAAGTTTGGGCCTTTGTGTAATTTTACAAAGTTGGGGTTTTGTTTATATAAACTTATATGCATCTTTGGCATAGAGAAATGAGATCAATATTGGACTGTTGGTAAAAATGGAACCTTAGGGTTGTGATGTTAATTATGGAAAATGCTCTAATTACATTGACAAATTAATTGGTATAATTAATTTGAAGAAAAGAGGAATTAAATTGAGAATGTTGGAATTGGATATGTATGTTATTAAAGGGTGTAGTTTGATTCATTCATCGCTCACCTAGTTGAAATGTTGATTATATATCCATTTGGTGCATTTATTTTCAGTATAGAAATAACTGCTTTGGGCTATCGGTGGAGGATAGTCTTGATTGTTGTAGACAATGCATGATGATTAGGCAAACTAAAACTAATCAATTGAGTATGCTATTGAATATAGCAGTTGGAATAATACATCGACCTTATGTATTGATGGTTTATGTATATGATCTATGTTTATATACATTGTGTGTGTGGGAGGAGATAGGGGATGTACTCCACGGTTTAGGGGAAGATAGGGGATGGACCTCTAAACCGGATTTTGTGTAACATTGATACAACACTACAATGTGTATCAAGTGTTGATTATGGAAGTGTTTGAATTGATTTGATATAGCACTAAAATGTATATCGTTATCAATTGTAAGGTATGGAAGTGATTCTATGTTATGTTGATACAGCACCGAAATGTGTATCTTTCGCAAAGTGTGGGAATGGTTTATATGTTATTGATACAGCATTAAAATGTGTATCCCTCATGAATTTTGAAAGTGTTTTAAAAATGAGTCTAAATCTCATTAAGCTATTTGGCTAGCTGTTGAGCCTTGTTTTCAAACTCAAAGTTGGAAAAGACATGGGAAATGAAGTGTAACATGGACTTAATGTCATGAAATCGAAATGTGATATATGTGGATGTATCTGTGTTGACCATCTATCAACTGCTAATCTTTAGTCATTGTTCATGGCTAGTTTAGTGTATTTCTACTAGGCTGTGGCTCACCCTTTATGGGACATCATTTTCAGGTACAAGTAGCATGCCACCTCCAAGGACATAGCTTGGGAGGCTAGAGGCAGACAGACTGCTTTGTTATTTGCTTTCTTTTGATGTATTACATGTAAATTCAAGCCAAGGGCTTAATATGTATTGAGTTAGCACTTTTCTTTTTGTAACCAAGTGTTAACTTGGAAAACTGTAAGCCCGTAGGGCATTTGCTTTTGTTGTTAACATGTAATACTTTTGTAAGGAACTACTCTGATGAATATTTATCTTTTATACTAATGCATGTTTAAGTTGATGGGCTTTAATGTTATTATTTTGAGGGCGTTACATGATCAAAGTGAAATTTTTGTTAAAGTACAAAGGTGATAAATGTAATTTACCCCAATTTTTTCAAATGTGCTAAAAAAAACCCCAAATTATAGCCTCGTTAGGAACTAAGCATTTTAGCCAAAAATGCAAAAAGTCACTATAAGGTGTCACATCACTCTCTATACTTTTTTATACATATTTTTGTAAAAAGTAAAAAAATTACTAAAATAGCATGTTCCCAAACGAGACTAAGCATAGATAAATCAATCCCTTGTTCGACCAAGCCATTGCCAAATAACACTCCTATGTCAAGATAAATTTTATATATATGGGAATCAAATAGTTGAAAAAAATTATCAGGTGCAAAGTTTACAAAATAATCCAATTGAACAAGCAACGACAACCAAAAAATTTAAACTATCATTTTTAACTAGGAGATTAGTATATAATCATAAGACTATTGAGAAACTTGTATAGACAGAGACTTGTAGCTGCTTCGAAAGTATGTTCATATTGTTTAAAGCATGTCCCTAACCTCTGAAGTCACCAATCTTCCTCTCCTACACATGAAAACATCACATAATGCAATGTAGGTAAATGAATGGTTTAACCAATGACTATTCATTTTCTACTTATTTTTTCATCCCAACCAAACAAAGGCTAGACTCATTTTTTTTAACAAGTAAAATTATTCTCTATCATTTTAGTTTTATTTTCTCTCATTTTCTCTTTCCTTCTACTTTCACTTAAAAAATCCAAGGTAGAAACAAGGCATTTGGTTTTGAGAAACTAAACTATCTTAATTGGTCAGTGGTTCAGCATTACTAATTCGAAAATACAATTTAAAACACAAAATAAATACCTTTGCTAGCATGTACTACTTTGTCATGAATTGAGTCCTAGCCTTGCTTACCAGAAAATTAGATGACTTCTCAAAGCTCTGTTAAAGAGTGAAAAGGGAATAAGTTTTTTTTTTTTTTTTTTTTTAATCTCATAAAGAGCAACATACCAAAATATCTTGAGAAAAGCTTTAAGTATACAACACTTTTAATCATTTAATTTCTATTTTCCTAATTCCTCCCAAATCCAACAAATCCTTTTAAAGTTTAAGAGAAACAAATAAATTTTTTAGGCTTAAAATGTAGAAGGTACCTGTTGTACCTGCCTGCAAGTGTTCCTTCTTATGTGGGGTGAGAATTATTTAATTTTAACCTACAAAACCAAATTGTGTTATGTATTATTGAATCTAAAAAGGAAAGACAATCAAAATGGAAAAAAAGTAATAAACGTATGCATAACAAAAATAAAAATAAAAATAAATAATTAAAAAAAAAAAAGAGAGAAGATATTCAACAAGATGTATCAAAATGATATTAAAGCAATAAAGTATCAGGATTGAATATGGTTCTTTAAAACCAAAGAATTTGGACCGGAAGTTTAACCCCTTTTTTCTTTTATGGATACAAGTTGTGGACAATTTGAGTTGAAGAGCTTTGTCACTAACCTATTCAGTTTCAGATACATACAATTTAGGATTAGGAGGATTATTTTTTGGTGTGACGTCAAAGAGTTAGTGAAAGATTTCATTTTCCTGCATGAATTATACATTTTAAATGAGAACTACACACAACTTATCTCCAAGAAAATGAAAGCAAGATGATTGAGAAGGGAAAACCAACCCGCATGTGTATTTCAAATCCTTCACCCATAAAGTGCTTTATAAACTTCATCTGTTGTGAATTTGGGAAGTTAGTAAGAGATACCAACACTCAAAACCCCAATATGCAGCAGACAATTATAAATATACAAAAATAAATAAATAAATAACTAAACACCTTTGTCAATTAGGACAATGTCAAAACATTAGACAATTCTCACCAATATTCGTAATCCAATCTATGTTCATCCTAAAACAAATAACCTTATATCAATATACCAGAACAAAGACACAAAGCAAGGGATGTATATCTGCATATACAAATTCAAGTAATACCTCAAAAAGCTTTACAATCTCCCAGTTCTGATTGCATACCTCATTGATTTGCTCTACAATGTTAACCTTCCATTCTTTTTTATCTAAATATGAATCCACTTTATTAATTGCACTATGAATAAAAGCCTTATAAGCCTTTTTTGAGAATTTCTCAATACAATTCTTCTCAAATATGATGGTTAGTGTGTCAACACATGCCACACACACATTCTTCCCCTTTTAACAGACTCAGAAGGTAAGACATTGCCCTGTATCAATTACAATACTATGCATATATTACGTCCTAGTAAGAGAAAACACGTAATAAAACAAGGAGTGTGCAAAGAGTAGCAAATTCAATCCAAAAGAGAATGCATCATGACAAGGTTTGGGAAACCAAACAAATGGTGATCTCACCAAGCATATTGGGAATAAAATAAATAAATAAAAACATGGACATATCAAATCAAACTAGTGCATGCTAACAACGCATATATATTTTTAAATTTTATAATTCTTGTAATCAAGAATGATTTTCAGTCTTTGTTAAAGTACTAAATTTGATATAGACACTCTGTTGGGTTTTATAGCTTTCATTTAAGTGATTCGGCAAACATTGTGTTAATGTACACTAAACCTAACCCACTAACCTAACCCACTACATCCACTCCACTAAACCTAACACACTTACCATCTCCACTTAAAAACATGGACATATCAAATCAAACTAGTGCATGCTAACAACGCATATATATTTTTAAATTTTATAATTCTTGTAATCAAGAATGATTTTCAGTCCTTGTTAAAGTACTAAATTTGATATAGACACTCTGTTGGGTTTTATAGCTTTCATTTAAGTGATTCGGCAAACATTGGATGATTAAAAAGAATAAAAGAATGAAAGTTGGATAGATTAAAGAAAGTTGGAGGCAATAGAAACCCCTCAAAGCAAGGTTCACCTAGCTCACTATCTTGCTTGGAAATTGGAACTCTTTTTCCTTTTATGTTAGTTAATACGATTGCTTTTACTCGTGAAAAGAACAAGAAATCAAGAAAAGCGGCATAAAATAAAGCTATTCTTTTTTTCTTTTTCTTTTTCTTTTTTCTCTCCCTTAAATGAAGTATATATTTCATTTAATGAGCATTCACAAATAGAAATGAGTTTGGCTTACCCCAGTTCTTGTTATCAACGTTCCATCCAATATTGATTGCGGTAAGAAGGTATCATCAAGTAGATATTGCTACAGTATTCCTTATTTGAAATTATTTGAGAGGAAAACAAAGACCTATTAGTTGTCAAGTCTAAGCCCCATCATTATGATCAGATAACTACCTCAATGAAGTTAAAAGGAATTTAAATTTTAAACATTTGTACTTTGAATCGTTGAAACAGCATAACATGTGGATAAAATACATACATCCGAGACCGAATTTGCAACAATGAATTCCCAAATTATTATCATCAAATTTTCAATCTCCCAAGAATCTTTTGCATCAACGAAAGTCACAATAGCTAAACATTTCAAGTCCTGCACCAAAAATTTTAAACAACATGGTCAAGAATTTTTTCACCAATAAATACGTCCTAAGATTACAAAACTATCAAGATTAAGTATTAATAAGAGTATTAGAATCGAGAATATACTTTTGCAGACTCATCTTCACAATTGAGGGTTTCAAAATACGTGGAAAGTGATTTTTCGAATAATTCATGTGCATTATCACCACGACCAATAATCATTGCTAATAATTTCTATGGAAAAAATTTAACATGATGCAGACAAGAAAATTTTCACCAATAAATATGTCCTAAGATTACAAACCTATCTAGATTAAGTAACCAATAATAGTATTAGAATTGAAAATATACTTTTGCAGACTCACCTTCAAAATTGAGAATTTCGAAATACATGGAAAATAATTCTTCTAATAATTCATGCGCATTATCACCAAGAACAATAATTATTGCTAATAATCCTATAAATATATGTCAAAGAATTGTATTACAATTTGATTTTTTTCTTTTTAATTTTATAAATAATAACAACAAGAGAATGAACAAACCAATGGATTTAGTAATAAATAAATACATATATATATATATATATTTCTAATGATACCCAGTTGTTAAAAAATGAATTCTCTCCATACCATAAAAAATTTCATTGAGTCCCTTTAATTATGTTAACGACTCCAAAACACAAGCAATAATACTATAATTCTCACTAAAAAACAAAAAAATAAAATTTGAAAAGACAAAGAAAATTTTATACATAACTATATTTTTTTTAACAATTACTAAACATATCTACATGTCAAAGAATTATATTGCAATCCGATTTTTTTCTTTTAAATTTTTTAAATAATAATAAAAAGAGAATGAACAAACCAATCGTTTTAATTGCCAAACAAATCACCCTTTCTTTACAAAATGGAGGCATCCAAGCATTATGGCGGCGAATCTGTGAGAATAACCATTACAAATATCAAACTATCCAGATATTGCAAATTAAAATTCGTGAATTCAAATATCTTCAAACTTAATTTAAAATTAAAAAAATATCACCATACTTGGTTTGTGCAATCTCATGCCCAGTGTAATTGGTAAAAGTTTCAATAATTTTTAACAATGCATCCTCTCTAATTCGTTCTCTATAATGACAAATTTAAAACAATAAAATAATAAAAAGTCAACAATTGCTTTCTAAAGCAATTACGAAAAAACAAAAAGGGGTAATTCTGAAGATGAAATTGAAGGCAAAAAAGGACTTTGCCTTGAATCAAACAAGTCTCGTTCCATGTAAGCTACCAAAGAATTGGAGTTGATATTGCTGCGAATTCATCAAGAATCAATTTCAATTAGCGATCGATTTTTCAAACAATAAATTTGTAAATTGCATCATATATATAGACATGTGAAAATCAAAATTCATATAGTATATTTGAAGAACAAGATATGAAAAATTGATTAAAGATTGAATATGAGTGTTACCTCTTCCCATCTTTCTTAAAGACGTCGCTGTGTTTGGTGCCGTGTTTGGTAGTGTTTCTCTCTTTTTTAATAAAAAAATTAGTCAATCATATGGATGTAAAAAATATTATTTTCAGGATATATGTATTAATTTGGTCCCTTGACCTTACTAAAAGACATGTAAATATAATTATGTTAAAAATAAAATTAGCTATATTTTCTCTAAGTTTAAGGAGAGATCAATGTAATATACACTAATTTATATATCACAAAAAATATTACATTGATTGATATTCAATACTTTTGTTTATTTTGTTTTATTTTATGTGAGAGGTGCTAGCAGGGATGACTATATATATATATACTAGAAATATCATTGGTTCTATTTCGATAATTTGAGTATGTGAGTTCATCATTAATCCTATTTTGACAACTTGATCATTTCTTCGTTATTTCTAAGTGATATGTGTGGCACTTAGTCACTCACAAGCCTTGCTAGTGATGCTACGTTCTCTTAAGCTCACAAGACAGAAAGCTAACACACACGAGAGAATGTCTTTTATTGCTTATGGAGAGATCTTTACACTCTAAGTTGGATGTGAGGCAAATGAGCCTTTGTTCCTTTTATAGGCAACCTAGTCTTCTAGAAACAATCTAGAACATATATTGAATATGGTGTGAGGAAGCTTAGTATCTTCCACAACCTTAAGAGAATTTTCTAAAATATACTCTAGAACTTTCTATACAGATTTTTGAATTATTTACAAGAATCCTACATCCTCTTAAGTCTTAGAGAAGGTTATGGATTCTTCCATTAGCCTCCATTCTCCCAATCCTTCTCCAGTGACGGATTGTGCTGGCAACTTTGCGAAACGTGACAATTAGCCGAAGTTCTAAGATGCCTTCCCGAACCAAACATGAATCATTCTACCAATGCTCGAAGCCAACCTTATCTATCCAAATTGTGTTGCCCTTGTTATTCCAATTGGTGTGATTCGATAGGGCCCTCGATGAGGCCACTTATGTATCCAAACTTACAACATCATTGATCATCTTTGCAGTGACCAATTTCACCAAAAAAGACATACGCATCGGGTCATGTGTTGAGTAATTAAACTCATGGTAAGAAACAATAATTCTTTTCCATACTAGTTAGAAGCTCCTGTAGAGTTAATAGTTGCAGTGATTGCCCCCTTTGATGAGGGATCAAGGAAAGGGAAGAATGAAGACGTATGAGGCACAAGGACATCAAACGGAATAATATAAATTTGAAGGTTTAATTAATAGGATTTAGTTTCTATTGTTATTTATTTCTTGTTTCTCCTTTTCTAATTTGCTTAATGGTTATGGAAAGCCATCTATGTATGAGCAAGAATCCTCTAGAGTTTTTTTTTCCTAAAATTTCTTAGAGTAGTGCATCGTGTGGTTGAGATTTAATGACAAGTCACATCAATTTTTCAGTATTAAATTTCAACCACACAATACACTACTTTAGGAAACTTTAAGAAAAAAATACTCTAGAGAATCCTAGGTGATCTATGTATATATATATATATTAGGAAAATGAGTTGGACCCCCTCAATGAGACATCTCCTTTGACCCCCTCTCTTTCTGATTGGCCAGTTTTTCTTTTTTCTTTTTCTTTTTTTCCTTCTCCTCTAATCACCACCCGCCATGTGTGTGTAGAGATAGTGGGGGTAGTGATTGGAGAGGGTCTCAATCACTTTCCTATATATTATAGTGTATACGTCTGTGCAAAGTACGTACTATTATGATTTTTGAGTCAAATGTTTTATTGAGTTTATTAAATGAAATGAAATAATATGAAAATTTCTTCAAAATTTTTATTTTATATTTGATTTACTCAAATATAAAATAAAATAATACATTACAAAAGAAATAATAATTATTGAAAAATTTATTAAGAAATCATTTTTTAAGTATTTATATTCTAATAAGTCCATAGCTTATTCATATATTTCAATAAGTCATATTATTTGGACATTTGATCCGTCAAATTCTAATTCTCATATTTAAGATATTTTGTAGATATTTTTATCCTTATAAATATTTTTTGAATCTTTAGTAACGTGGTGTGCAATCTTTTGGGCTATCTTGTATTTTTTATATATTAAACTTGAAAAAAAAAATCATAAATTTTGTTGCATTTTTTTATGAAATTTATATTTTTGAAACCTAATTAACGAGATTTATCAAATAAGATCTCACTTAAGAGTTCGTTTGGGATGTGAGTTGGCTTTTTGGTTATTTTAGCTTTGAGCTAAAAAGTCTCGATTAGGATAGACTTTTTGATTTTTTTTTATTTTTGTGAGAGAAAAAATGAAATGATTATGGGTTAAATGTGACATTTTGTCCTATTTGACTAAAATAACTTATTTTGTCCTATATGGCTATTTTAGCCCCAACCTTTATCCCAAACGAGGCCTTAAATGTGTAATTTTATAAAATAAATAAATAAATACTAAATAAATTTAACAATGTAAATGTTTAAATGAGAGTGTGAATATTTATATTAAATAAATTTAATAGTGTGAATGTTCACATGTCATATTGTTAATATAAACATTAATGTGCACTTAAACCTATGTCACCCACCTATAGGACTTATTGGAACATATAAAATTAAGAGATAATTATTAAAAAGTCCAAGATGAGGAAACTATAAGGCATTAGATTCAGTGGATACTTTTTATTGGTGAAAAATCTATCCTTCGTGGAATAGTTTGGTGGGAAGTTGTTTTGTCAATTTTAGAGGGCATTTTGTTTCTAATTTTACCTCTTAATTTTTTTTGTTGACTTTTTTTTATCTGTTGACTTTTGTTGACTATTTGTTCAAATTTTTTCCCTATATGTTGAATTTTTTTTCCTATTTGTTTAAATTGTTCCCTATCTGTTCAAATATTATGTCTACATAAAATATATTTGTTGAAATTTGTTTCTTCAAAAATCTATCTGTTCAAATTATCTATTGAAAATCTATTATTTTTTAGGGTAAATTACACTAACACCTCCTGAGATTTATATTTATTATATTTGAGAAATTACACTGACCCCCCTTGTTAATTTAATTTTATGTATGATGATCATAATGGTGGGGAGGCAAACTGTTATGAAACTTTAAACATCAGGGAGTAATCTGTAATGAAACTTTAAACCTGAGGGAAGGGAATGTAATTTTTCAAAGGTGGGGGAGAGGGGAACTATAATAAACATAAACCTCAGGGCGTGTCAATGTAATTTACCCTATTTTTTATTATCTATTCAGTTTTTGAACAGATTTGTTCAACAAACAACAAATTCTCTTTTTATCTGTTTAAATCCAACATTTATTTATCAACAACAACATGTAGTTCTAAAACTTCAAATCACACACAGAGCTCTAGCAAAAAAGATGTGGCTTAATTTCAACTGTTTGGAGATTTACATTGTGTTTGGTTGAAGGACTTTGGGAGGGATTTCGAAAGAGAAAGGAAAAAGGTGTGTGAAACTAGGTGCAATATAGATATGTTTTATTCACATTTCACTTACATTTTTTATTTTTCTTTCAAATCCCTCCTCAAATTCTCCAACCAAACACAGCATTAACGTTTAACTCTTTCAAGTACAAAATTATTTAGAAAAAAAAAAATTATCAACACAAAAATCTAGACAATATACATTCAATGCTATTGATCTACAAAATGTGGAACAACAAAATCTTCATAGCCAATCATCACCAAGGCTATGTTCGGCATGCCCATTTGGGCTAAAATAGTCATATATGATAAAATTTGTTATTTTAGTTAAATAAGACAAAATGTCACATCTAAACCAAAATCATTTCATTTTTTCTCTCATAAAAATCAAAAAAATCAAAAAACCTATTTCAAATGAAACTTTTTAGCCCCAGGCTAAAATAACCAAAAAATTAAAAAATTAAAAAGTTAACACACATCCCAAACTAAGGCAAAACGTATTATCGTAGAGTAACAAAAATATCTATTTTTATCAACCTTGTATAGGTGGTTACTAATCTATAGTCTGAGAAGCTTGACAATTACAACCTAGTGGACTGATTGTGCGAAGGTGGAGTCAAACCAGGACATATGGAGCCGATGAAGAGGATAAAGGAAGCGCTAGTGACGAACAAGTGAGAACAATACTTGACCAAGTCGCCGAAGCCCCAGGAGAAGGGGAAGGAGGAGCTCGTTCATGGATCACCAAAGATTTATTTCTCTTATTACTCCATTCCCATAGTCAGTCGCATACAATACACACATAGAGACAGAGAAACTGAGAGAGAGATATTGGAATAATCTTTTATGTATAATAAATAACTTGAAACAAATCAAATAAACAAAATAAATTACTTATAGAATTTATTTACAGAAACAGCTTAAGAACAAGAATGATCGAGTTGAGTGTGTGACACTCTATCCTTAAGACAAATTCGCCCTGCTCAGGTGCTTACGGAATAATGGCGTCTATCTCCGAAGATACAATAATCTTTCATAGATTGTATTAGCACTAAAAATAATTTGTTTCGGCGAAGCAGAACTTGTGTTCTATACTCTAAGAAATTTGTCTAAAATTAATATGAAAAATATATATATATGCAAGGGAACAAAACAGAAGACAACAAAAGAATTTTAGATGTTTTTAAACTGCTGGAAGAAGGTCTGAATTTATAGGCAAAGTGGTACCTTTTCGGAAGACTTGAACAGGTCTAACATAGAATCGAATAGGTGCAAATTGAACTAAACAGGTGCAGAATTCAAATCAGTTTGAAAACAGTTTGATCTGTTGGAAAATGGAAGAGAATTTCGATTCGAATGAGGCATTATTTGGACAAGAAATTTAAATTCAAATTTGAATTAGTTCCGTTTAGAAATTCAAATAATTTTTCCGCAAAGAATTCGAAAAAATTCAAATGAATTTTGTCAAAAAAATTAATGTCCACCTGGAGTTTATATACTTACAAAAGCCCTCTTAAAGTTTCAATGTGGGACATCCAATTTAAAGAAACTCATATTTGACTCTTCAACTTCTCATTCCGCGAATCCGAAAACGACATCAACTTTCTATTCACTCATAAATGGTTTTGACGAATCGTTTAACCTCCGTGACTTACCATGCAATAAGGACCCATGTCACATTTTTAGACCCACCTCAAAAGATATGTAGGCTCCACTCAAATTTAGGCTCAAAATTTGTCCAAAATAAATCTATAAAACCCATAATTTCCAGCAAGAGATTCTAGCAATCTAGAGAGAGAAATTAGTTTTGTTTTTGTGAGAGAAATGTCGAAAGTAGTGAGTGAAGAGGGACAGACACACCATGGAAAGGAGTACGTGGATCCACCGCCAGCACTGCTGATGGGCATGGAGAAGTTGAAGCTGTGGTCCTTCTACAGAGCACTGATAGCAGTAACTCCCCATAGACACCACAACACAGCATACATGATCCGCAGGTTCTCAGATGCATAACAGCACCTGACTCAGGTTCTCCACTATGTGATGCACTGAGTAATGGACAGAAGGCAGTGAAGCTCGAACCCAGTACTCCACCCTCACTTTAACTACCTCACCAAGCTCCAACATATCTGGTAAATGACCCTTGAACACAATCTCATTCCGAAGCCTCCAGGTTGACCACAGCATTGCCACTGGGACCAGCATCCAGATTTTCTTCACTAGTTTCCTATGCTTAGTTCCCAACCACCAAGAAAGAACTCCATCCACTGTAGCAGGAGAGACCCAGCATAAGTTCCACCACTGCATCAACTTTCCCCAAACCTTCCATATTTGAGGACACTGCACAAACAGATGATCTACTGATTCTTCTGCAGCAAGACAGAAAGGGCAGGCAACATTTGCATTACCCCCTAACACCCCTAGTCTTTGCAGAACAACTGCAGCCTTTACCCTTCCTCTCCAAGCCAGCCAACACAAGAATTGGGCTTTAGGAGGTGCCAGATTATTCCAGAGCATCTTAGGAACCTGTAAGCTAGTTCCAGAATTTTTCTGAAGCCAAGATCTCACAGATGCCACTGTGAACACACCAGACGCAGATGCTGTCCACTTTACACCATCACAAAGATTTTCATTCAACCTAGGGACATCCTTAGTTAACTCTTGCAACTTTCCGACCTCCTCTTCCTCCCAAGAAAACAGAGGTCTTCTAAACTGTAGACTCCAATGACCATCCCTATCCCTCCTCTGCATAAAGTAACTGAGCTTTTCTTCTTTCTCCATAGAAAGCCTAAATAACCTAGGAAATTCCTCTTTCAACTTCAAATTCATGCACCACCTATCATGCCAAAACAGAATCCTACTCCCATTCCCTACCACAATCTGTAGTTTAGAAGCAAAAAATTGGAACAACTCAGGATTTAATGCAGCCACACTCAGGATATCACTCCACACAACAGATTCCTTACCTTCCCCATTCTGTATTGGGAGCCACCTGCCTCCATCAGCCCCATACTTGCTAACAATAACCCTCTTCCACAGTGACTCATCCTCTACCCCATACCTCCACCACCACTTTAGTAACAAGCAGTCATTTGATTCCTTAGCCTTCCTTATACCCAGCCCTCCCTTATCTTTGCTAAGTGTTACATCCGTCCACTTAACCATATGAATCTTCCTCCGAAACTCAGAACTGCCCCATAAAAAAGCAGCCTTCAACTTATCAATTTCCTTTGCTATTCCTTTGGGCAACTTGAAAATGGAGATATAGTACCCCGGTAAACTATCCATAACTGATTTGACCAATGTTAGCCTACTAGCAAAAGACAAGAGCTTCCTTTTCCAAAGAGCTAACCTTGACTTAACCTTATCCACCACATTTTGCCAAGTTTTTGTTCTTCTAGGATTTGCACCAAGAGGTAAACCTAAATACTTGATAGGTAACTTCTGAGTTACACAATGCATAGACGAGGCAAGTACCTGAACCTGATCATCATTGATGCCTACACCACACACCACACTTTTATGAAAATTAATTGTCAGCCCTGACATCACCTCAAAGCATCTAAGGATTCTTTTAACATTAACAATCTCCTCCAACTCTGCTGCACAAAATAAGAGAGTATCATTTGCAAACTGGAGGTGTGATAATTTCAACCCTGTAGATCCAACAGTAGCTCCTTTTATTACACCCAATCTCTTAGCCCTTTCCAACAGCAGATTCAACCCTTCTGCTGCAACATTGAACAAAAAGGGTGACAGCGGATCACCCTGTCTCAACCCCTTTTGGGGGCAGAATTCATTCGTGGGAGAACCATTAACTAAGACAGAAACTCTAGTTGTGGTAACACAAGTTTTGATCCATCTAATCCACCTTTCTCCAAACCCTAAATTTGCCATCATGGAGAGTAGATACTCCCAATTAATTGAATCATAAGCTTTTTCAAAGTCAAGCTTTAAAATGACTCCCTTCCCTTTTGACTCCTTCTACCAATCCATAACCTCATTAGCAATCATGACTCCATCAAAAATATTTCTTCCACCTAAAAAAGCTGTCTGAACTTCACTGATGACTTCTGGTAACACCTTCTTCAACCTCCGCGAGAGCACCTTTGATAATATTTTATAGGCAACCCCCACCAGACTAATAGGTCGATAGTCTGACAAACCTTTGGGACACTCTTTTTTTGGGACAAGTGTGATGAAGGAACTATTTAGTCCTCTAACCAGATTCCCATGATGGTAGAATTCCTTCATAAAGTCAAACAAGTCATTCTTCATGAACTTCCAACATTTCTGAATACATGCCATGTTGAATCCATCCGGCCCGGGAGCTTTATTCCCGTCACATTCTTTCACTGCTTCCCAGACTTCTTCCATTGTAAACTCGGGTTCAAGAACCTCCACTCTATGAGCATTACTAATTGATACAAAGGGTCCAGCCAACTTGGGTCTGGATGGCCACTCTTCAGCAAAAGCCTTTGAGAAGTATCTGACCACTTCAAGCCGCACAAGCTCCGGATCTTCAATTCTAACCCCATTAACTACCAGTGAGTCCACCAGATTGCTTCTTTGCCTCTTACTAGCACAAATGTGAAAGTACCTTGTGTTCTTATCCCCAAGTTGGGCCCATTTCAACCTAGACTTTTGGAACCATAGCCAGTCCTTTCTTTTTCTAAGCTTCCAAACCAAATGTTTTGTCTCCCTTCTGGATTCAATCTCATCGGATGTCAACTCCCTAGACTCTGCTAACAGGTCGAGTTCATGTAACTCCTCCTCTGCTTTTTTTAGTTGTTCTTCTACCAGACCAAACACTTCACTGTTCCATTTTTTCAGTTCCACTTTCAAACCACCTAACTTTCTTTGCAGTCTATAATTTTTTCAATTCCACTTTCATACCACCTAACTTTCTTTGCAGTCTATAACCAGCCCAGCCTTGAACTTGATTCTTCGACCACGCTTTTTGAGCAACTGAAATGAAACCTGGGTGCAATGTCCAAGCATTAAGGAACCTAAATGGTCTAGGCCCCCAATTCCTCTCATCTTCCATCAACAGAAGTGGGCAGTGATCAGATACCACTCTGGGAAGACCCCACATCTGAAACCTGAACTTTTCCAACCATACCACGTCTAGCAGAAACCTATCAATCTTACTCCACCGCTCTCCCGCCATGGAGTTACACCACGTAAATCTTCTGCCTAACAAAGGAATTTCCACCAACTCCATTTGGTCAATGAAATTATTAAATTCTACCATTCCTCTGTCTCTCCTTGCACAGCCTCTTCTATCCTCTATATTTCTAATAACATTAAAATCCCCTCCCATACACCAGGGTCTATGGAAACTAGTTCTAATATTACCAAATGTGGCCCATAACTCTGCTCTTTTAGACACATCATTAGGCCCATACACATTTAAAAAAACACATTCAAAGGAATTAAGAGTTACACCTGATAAGAGCAGGAAGTTTCTATGACCGCAACACTCCTTTAGTTGAAACACCTCTGTATTCCATATGCTCAATAGCCCTCCAGCACTACCGTCAGAATCAACCGCCATAAACGCCATCCTCTCCCAAGGCCAAACTGAGCGAACAAACAACTCATCCACACTACTTTTTTTTGTTTCTTGAAGAAGCAGGACATCCACCTTTCTATCCTGAATAACCTGCCTAACTCTCCGTCGTTTATCTGCCCTACCCAACCCTCTGACATTCCAGGACATGATCTTCATTTATAACTATTAACTCTCCTAAGTAAACCCCAAGCTTTTAATCGGTTACGCTGGACCCAACACACCCCCTATCTCCTTTGCCAAACGATCTTCATCTTGTTGCTCCATCTCTACTATTCTCTGAAGTACTTCAGCCTCTTTACCTTCACAGTTCATCCCCAATCGGTTACCAAGCTGCAGGATTTCGTTTGCTTCCTCCACTCTCTTCTTCCTCCTCCTACGCTCCTGACTTTCTTTGGACAAGGACTGAGATAAAGCCGCAGCTGCTGCCCTCAATACAGCTCCTCTATTGAACCCAGATACGAACGAAGTTTGGGTGCTTTGAGCTCTCCTTTTCCCCCTTCCTCTGGTTCCTCCAGCGCTGCCCATCCTCTTTCGAATACGACCATTTCTCTCCACCGGTTCTGGTTTGTATACTGTTAGCTGCACAGCTTCATTACTTGGACCACCTAGCACCCTTCTTTGATTCAGCTTGGGCTGGGCTTCAACACTATGAACTCTGCCAACCTCCCTGTTATTGTTTATAGCTGCAGGCCCACTTTGATCACCTCTTAACTGAGCCCCTTCTAGCACTACCTCAATGTTGATACTCGGCCCAATTTCATCAGACCCACTAAGGCTTTTAACAAACCCAGTAGGCACAACATCCTCTGCACCCACTACTTCCCCAAACATTCTTCTTGGAGTCTCCATCTGCAACTGCAGCTGCTCCCCTGCCAGCCAGCTCACCCCATTGTTTAGTTTCTCCACCTTCCCCTCGGTAACAAGCAAGCATGTTTCTGGCACCTGACTATCAGAACCTGCACCATTCATCTCTCCCCTAGGCTGCACTGCTACGTGGCTTCCATCTCTTAGTAACATGCTCTTGCTACATTGGTCCACCTCATCACTGCAGGCCACCTCATCATCCCTGACCTCAATCCCTCTGGTCTTCACTACGCTGCTTCTCTGATCCCCTCCAACATTGGAATATCTATCCCTCTTCTCCTCACCCTGAAGGCCTATGGGCATCTTCCATCCATTAACAGAGCAGCTCTTACTGCTCGCTGACATCTCCACAAACTCAGGACATTCATAAACCCTTACTGGGTACAGGACTCCCTTACAACTCAACCGAACAGTCCTATTGATAAGCTCCATGGACTTTGTGATGACTCGTATTTTCCCACAGCAAAAAGAGACATGCTTGATAGTATCCTCATGCACCTGCACTACTTCTCCCCAGACAGCCCCTATACTTTTGAATGTAGTCACACTCCATAGATTGAAAGGAATTCCAGAGCAGTTAAGCCAAACACACCGTTCTTGGATAAAACTACATCTCGGATCCCACTCCTCCATTGAACTACACCAGTCAAAAATCCATTCCTTAATTACCTCTTTCTGTCTTTTCATCTCCATAACTGATGGGAACGTTAGGATTACAAGTCTACCTTCACCGGCTCTCACCACTACCTCCTGAAGACCCCTCTTCTGACATTCCTCTTTGAAAGCTGTAAAGGAAAAGAAGGTATGCAGCTTGATTATCAGGCTTTCATACAGCCACCCATTACCCTCTTCTGAAGCGTGAACCACCACTTCCTCTCGACCCTGCGCCAGCCCTTTTCCAACTACCTCCGCATATGATTTTGGCCCTCCAAGGTCCTGCTTAGTCTGCTTACCTCCTCTGTGATCAGCCCAGTGACTGTTCCGAACCATATTTTGAGCCCTCTGGTTGGTGCCCTCAGACTGTTTGATTTTTCCAGGATCTTCCCTCTTGAACTCAGCCCCTTTAACCCTCAGTGCTTTATCATCACACCACAGTCCATCCGCTCTTTGAACTGCCATCTCAGCTGCAACCGAACAATCGTACCTAACGAAGCCAAACCTCGAACCAGTGATCTTTCTCCTTTTCTTTGGGATAAACACATCCTTAACAATGCCAAACTTTGCAAACAACTGAAACAAACTTTTCGGATTCATTGAGTCAGGGATGTTGTCCACAAATACTGTAACTAGCTTCCCTCCCTTTGAGTCCCTTAGCATTATTTGGAGTAAATAAAAAATTCACACATCTTTTTCATTTTTCTTTTTAAATTTTTAGCCTAATTCATGATCCAAAAGCAATCTAACTTACTCTGATAGTGTGTTGTCTTTGTCTTGGCCCCACCTCAAAAGATATGTAGGCTCCACTCAAATTTAGGCTCAAAATTTGTCCAAAATAAATCTATAAAACCCATAATTTCCAGCAAGAGATTCTAGCAATCTAGAGAGAGAAATTAGTTTTGTTTTTGTGAGAGAAATGTCGAAAGTAGTGAGTGAAGAGGGACAGACACACCATGGAAAGGAGTACGTGGATCCACCGCCAGCACTGCTGATGGGCATGGAGAAGTTGAAGCTGTGGTCCTTCTACAGAGCACTGATCTCAGAGTTCACAGATCATGATCTTCGTGCTGGATCTGCGTACCGGAGACAGCGTTGCGGTCGATGTTCTGGTGCCGTGTTCCACCGCAGTAGCAATGCAGTACGGAGGAGGAGGAAAACGATGATGGAAGGAGGAGGAGTCGACGGTAGAATGTAGAGCAATTCCAAAACGCTGACAATAATACAACTAAAAAACAAGAAAACAAAATTTGAAAAGACGGAAAATTTCAAAAGGAAATTACTTATCAGTTCAAAAGGAAAGAAAAAATTACACAAATTCACTACTAAATTACTTCTACTTTTTTGTTTTTGTAATTTTTTTTTTCCTCTATTGTATTGTTAAATAATTTCCTCAAAATTTTGTGCATAACTTTTTTTTTAAAATAATTCCGAAACATATCTATATATCAAAGATCCACCAATACGAAATAAATAATTAACCCTTGCCATAGGGAAGAAATTGAACCCTTGACCTCTAAGTTTAGTTTACATAAGTGGTCAACTAAACTATAGCTCAGTTGATTTTTGCCCTTTAATTGTTTATAATATATTAATTTAATTTAATTTAATTAATAATATACATTCAATAAATTAGTCGACATAGTCAATTCAAAAGGGAACAAACTCTGTCAATTTGGACGTCAATCCAAATGAATTCTTTTGCCTATTAATTTTAGCACAATTTCTAAAGGGGAATTGAGCTTTTCTTGTATCTAATCAATAAATTTTTGAAGATTTCAGACCAAACATCGAAATGATATTTTATTTAATTAATAAGCTTTTGAAAAGTTGAAAGTTTCAACAATAAGAATTTTTTAATCAGCAATACTAGGTATCATGAAAAACGTTTCATGAAAATAATCATGAAAGTTTTGTGACCCTTGAATTACACTTAGAATAAAGTATCACACACTAATCAAGGTAATGCAAGGATCATAACTCCTTCATGAACATTTTTATGAAAAAAATTTCATGATCCCTAACTTTTCTCTTTTTTGATAGTGTTGTTTAGATCTCAGACCACAGCTTAAGTGATAATGATTGAACCATCTCTAAGTCTTATATAATTAAAAATAAAGAACTAAGAAAAAAATTATAAAAATAAAATTATATGAACCAAATCAACATAAGAGACAAAATAAATAAATAAAAAAAGAAAAAACTATTGAGATAACCTAAGATGCACGAGCACGGACACATGACACGATACGGACACGCAGACACACTAATTTTCAAAAAATTGAGGACACGACATACTGGGGACACTGTCACAAACCAAAACCGCCCCTATAGTTTTAATATCGTAACCGGCTAGTAATCCTAAGATTATTGAAGGCCTCTGAGACGGACTAACAAAATAAGGGGCTGGCGGAAGCAAATACATCAAATACATTGTCCATAAAACTATGCAGACATATATGGGATAGAGAATTTAAAACTTATATTCACATATATATTAGTCACTGTCTTACATCATCCACTTCTAAACAAAACAAAAAGGAACTTAGCCTTAAATTCAGATTTTACAAAAATCTTGATTAACAAAAGAAAGAAAAGATAAAAATAGACATGACGTGCACTTGACTTACCATGTGAAACACTTGGGAATCTCCTCGGAAGGTACGGTGATTGGCTTGACAAAACAAAACTCCAGGCTGGCAATTTAGGCCCGGTCCCACGCCTGATCACCTAAGGAAGTGTATATAACGTTCTTAGGGTCAAGATTAGCCTTTTATAGGCTTGGTTTAATGTTGGTTAATTAAACTTGGCTTATGACTAATCAATTGATATTATTTTATTTTAATTATTTAATTCCGAATCGAAATCTAATTAAATTTACCAAAAAATCCTTAAAATTCTAATTAACACATGAACATAGTCAATTTCATGTTCAGATGTCGATAAGGCCCTCAATTCACGTACCGAAACAAAATTTCAGACAGATAGTCCTACCAATGACAGATATAAACACAAATAACAAAATACACATGCAATTAACTCAAAATTTCCTCCTAATTACTCGTTAAGCATTCTTAATTAAGGATGATAGGCAAATCATAGGTCGGGGTTGTTACAGACACGCTTATGTCATAAAAAAAAATTAAAATTGAGAAGTAATAAAAATATAAAATAACATGAACAAATGTTTTAAATATATATACATATATTTATAGCTATTCATCAATTTCAGCACTTTACTTAATAAATAAATTGAGCAATTTTAAGAAATTTATTTGTTCTTCAAATAAAAATAATTTGCTCTATGCATGTTAGGGCCAAAGATGAATATTAAAAAATAGAGGGGTTGTCAAAACTTTGCTCTTATCCAATAGCTGACCTCATAAAAGGGGTTCAGAAAATATGTAATTAAAGAGAAAAGAGAGAAGAAAAAAAAAAGGAGAGAAAGAAACGGAGGAGAGAGAGAGAGAGAGAGAGACTAAAAAACAAAGTTTAAAGGAAAACAAAAAAGAAAAGAAGAAGACAATGAAGTAGAAGGAGAAGAACGAAGATGATGAGGTGAAGAAAGACGAAGAAAAGAAGAGAGAGAGAGAGAGAGAGAGAAACCTGTTGGAAATGGTAGAAAAATTCTGGGTAAAACCAGAATTTTTTCTCAAGTTTGGTCTATTTTTTAGGTGGGCCCCGAGCGTCGATTTACTCAGGTCAAAGTGGTAACGCGTTCTATGCCGCGTTGTGATTCACATGGTATATTTGGTTGCTCAAAACCATTACCGAGTGAATGGGAAATTGAAGCCAAAGTGTGCTCCATGGAAATGGCGTTTTGGTGGAAATTCCTTAAGGTTGTAAAATGGCTTGTCCCACATTGATTTGATGGGAAGTTTTGAAAGGGTTTATAAGGCATGGGTTTGGTACTTGGGAAGTGCCCCAAGGGGTACTCAAGTGTTTTAGAGGGAGAGGTTATGGGCAAAATGGGCTAGACCCATTGGACCCAAAAATCACCACACACGCGCACCGTCGCCGTCCGGTCAGGCGGGCTGGGCTGGGCTTGGGCACGGGTGCGTGGTTTGGTTGGGCTTGTTCGGCCCAATACTAATCTTTTTGGGCAATTTTATTTTTGGTAAAATAAAATTCAGAATTCAAATTAAACTGATTTGGATTTTCTGTACATCCAAACAGGGCCCTTCCCGTTTTCAAACAGAAATAAACTAGTTTGGAATTAATGCACACCCAAACAGGGCCCTTCCCGTTTTTTGCTATCTGTTTGAATTATCAACAAATTCAAATCTGTTTGAATTCAAAACCAACAGGTATCATACCTGTTCAATTTAAAACCAAGAGCCACCTTTACATCTATAAATAGGACCACCCTCATTTGATGTTTTTCATTCAGAAATTTCATATTTCACCTCTGCTTATTCTATTCTTCATTTTGTTGCATTTTATTTCTGAAAGAAAGAGTGCAAACACTTAGTGTGTTCGTAAGGCAAACAATTTGTAGTGCTGCTATTGTTTGTGGTAGATCATTTCATCTTGGGAGATAGACGTCCAAATTCTGAAAGCACCGTGGAGAGGACGAATCTGTCTTAAGGACACAGTGTAATATTTTAAATACAGTGAAGATTGCCAACAATCTTAAGACAGAATCATTTTTTTGTATCTTCTTTGTATTTAATTTTCTGTGTTTTCAAAGTAATATTCTGGTTGGAAAAACAAATAGTGATTTATGCTATTTGACATATAGTAGTAATATACTGTCTCTTTTCTTTGACAGCTAGTAGTAATATACTGGTGTCATTAACAATTGCAGAATATTATTTGGTATTAGAGAAAATTATTGTGATATTTTATTTTTCTAGTTTTAGTAACAAGGAAAATAAAATTATTTTGTTGTTATAATTTATTTTCTGGTTTTAGTAACTAGAAAATTAATTTGTATTTTAATTTTTTCTGATTTTTGTAATCAGAGATTATGGCTACTACAACTGAAACTGCATCTGGCAGTGGTACTCCTATTGTTACACCTACATCGGTCCCTATCCAGAACCATGTTCATGTACCAATCAATCATGGAGAAAATCGAAAAAATTTAACGGTACCGAGTTTAAGAGATGGCAGCAGAAGATGCTGTTCTATCTTACGACTCTTAATTTGGCCCGGTTTCTCCATGAAGAGGGTCCAGCACTTAAAGAAGGTGAAAGTGATCTGCAAGTTGTTGTCGCTGTAGATGCTTGGAAACATTCAGATTTCCTGTGCAGAAACTACATCCTAAATGGCCTTGACAATATGCTGTATAATGTATACAGTCCTCTGAAAACACCAAAAGAATTGTGGGATCTTTGGAGAAGAAATACAAGACAGAAGATGCCGGCACGAAGAAATTTGTCGTCGGTAAATTCCTGGATTTTGTTATGGTAGACTCCCAAACGGTAATATCTCAAATTCAAAGTTTTCAAATAATTTTGCATGATATTCATTCAGAAGATATGTCTCTTAGCGAATCATTCCAAGTCGCTGCTTTAGTGGAAAAGTTACCACCGGCTTGGAAAGATTTCAAAAATTATTTAAAACATAAACGCAAAGAGATGACGATGGATGAGTTGATTGTAAGATTAAGAATTGAGGAAGATAACCGAAAGGCTGAAAAGAGGAATA